TAACTTTTTATCTAGAAATATTTTGTTAAAGCATGTAGAACAAAAAAGGTGTAGAATTTCAAGATCTTTCAAATGACACCTCGAAAAAGGGCTGGCCCCTTAAATCAGAGGCCTGGAGCAGCCGAAAGTTTTTCCTTTATATCTCAAAAAGTATTGCGAATTTGTGATACGTCAAAGAAGCAAAGTTGTTCAAAACGTCAAGCTTAATCTATTGAAGTCGTCAAAATACGTCCGGCGTCGTCACTTCCGGTCAAACCGGAAGTAGTCGGAAAACGCGTATTTTTGCCGTTTTTGACAAGTTTTTCGGTAACATATGTCTCTGGGAGCATTAAATTTAATTTTCCGTCCGTCGTCGTCACTTCCGGTCAAACCGGAAGTAACAGAAAATGGCTTATTTTTACAATTATTAACATGGATTTAGAGGAATCATACCATTTTTGGACGTTATTTCTCATTTTTGTTAAAAATAAAAGCCACTTCCGGTCAAACATGACGGAAGACCTACTCGTTGCTTTGCATAGAGCTTTGCTCTAGTTATTATTATTATTTTTCTTCTTCCTGGGAAAATTTTGTCCACGAGTGATCTTGTAAACTACACATCCGACTAAGGTAAAATGTTTTTAGGGTCAGTAGACATGTTATGTAAATTTGCCGAACGAAGGTCATTTTGCGCGCACGAGCTTGCAAGAGCGCGCACGTGCAACACGAGAAATGACCAATATAATGGATATTGCTGTAACTTTTCTTTTTTTCAATAATTTTTTTTGAAACTCATAATTTAAGGATACATTAGTAGTATAGACAAGATGGCATGGTCAAAATAGCAAGATCTCACGCGCATGCACGTGTGCTTCGCTCTGATTGGCTGAAACTAAAGTCTCAATATCTTTCTTGTTTCTTGTCATAATCTTTTGAAATTTTGAGCGTCGTCCTATATTATAAAGATCTACAGCATGATATATAAAAATTTTCATTAGAGCATGCGCATGCGCGCATGCTGCAATCTGATTGGCTGAAACTTTAAATGGCTATATCTCCTTTGATTTATGACGAAATGCTTTGAAATTTAAAACATAGCCATGCGTTAGGATATCCTACAATATGATATAGAAAAAAATTCATGAAATCACGCGCATGCACGTGTGCCGCAATCTGATTGGATGAAACTTTATATGGCTATATCTCCTTTGTTTTTGACGAAATGTTTGGAATTTTAAAATATAGTCATTCATTTAGATATCCTTCAATACGATAAAGATAAAAAATTATGAAATCACGCGCATGCATGTGTGTTGCAATCTGATTGGCTGAAACTTCAAATGGCTATAACTCCCTTATTTTTCAACCAAACAGGATGGGATTTAGAACATATATAAATATAAGGGACTTCTACAAGAAGGTGTAGTCATTATGCACGTGCTTGCACGTGCGTGCACGTGAAATGAGTAAAATTAAAAATACACTCGAATGAGTGTATTTTTTAATACTTTCGGATTAAATGCTTTGATATCAAGTATATTAAAATTTTAGATAGTGTAGACAAGATAATATGGTCGTTACGCAATTGAACACGCGTGGAATGCCTATTTTAAAATATATTTTGTATTTTTCTGGGAAGACATTGATTAAGTCTAAATTCCATAAAGTATTTCTTATTTAATAGAGATTACAGGGAATATGGCACCAAAAGGGAGTTGGGGAGCGTTTGGGGAACATCTGTAACGGTTCCCGTTACAATTAGCACTAGTTATTATTATTTTTCTTCTTGGGAAAATTTTGTCCGCGAATGATCTTGTAAAGTACACATCCGATTAAGGGGAAACCTTTTTAGGATAAGTAGGCATGTTATGTAGATTTGCGGAACGAGGGTCATTTTGCGCGCACGTGCTTGCAAGAGCGCGCACGTGCAACACGTGAAATGACCAATATACTTGAAATTGCCGTAACTTTTACATTTTTTGATGTAATGCTTTGATATTTAGAATATATAGACATGTTATAAATGTAGATAAGATGACATTGTCAACATGCCATTTTGCGCGCACGTGCTTGCAAGAGGGCGCGCGTGCAACACGTGAAATGACCAATATAATAGATATAGCCGTAACTTTTCTATTTTTTTATGAAACCTTTTGAAATTTATAATGTAAGGATATATTAGTAGTGTAGACAAGATGACATGATCAAAAAAGCAAGATCTCACGCGCATGCACGTGCACTTCGCTCTGATTGGCTGAAACTAAAGTCTCTCTACCTTTCTTGTTTTTCGACGAAATCCTATGAAATTTTGAACATAGCCTTGCATTAAGATATCCTACAATATGATATATAGCAATTATCATGAAAACACGTGCATGCATGTGTGCTGCAATCTGATTGGCTTAAATTTGAAATAGCTTTAACTCCTTTGGTTTTCAACCAAACAGGATGGAATTTGGAACATAGATAGATATAATGAACTTCTACAAGACGGTATGGTCACAATGCACATGCATACACGTGCGTGTACGTTCGCTGTAATCTGATTGGCTGAAACTTTAAACAGCTATATTTCCCTTGGTTTTCAACCAAACGGGGTGGGGTTTAGAACATAGATAGATGTAAAGGACTTCTACAAGAAGATATGGTCACCATGCTCATGTATGCACGTGCGTGCACATAAAATGAGATAAATCAAAAATACACTTGAATGAGTGTATTTTGTAATACTTTTGGATTAAATACTTTAATATTTAGTATATAAAAAATATATAGATTGTGTAGACAGGATGATATGGTCATTACGCACATGCATTCACATGAGCACGCTTGCAATGCTAAAATTTGAATGAACTTGGCGTTGTTAGCTCTAGTCTCGAATGCATAGATTTTGTCCTATTTAATGAAGCTGTTACAGGGAATATGGCACCAAAAGGGAGTTGGGGAGCGTTTGGGGAACATCTGTAACGGTCCCCGTTACAATTAGAACTAGTTTAATTTAATGTAGAAAAAAAGAAAGAAAATGTGCAATTGTTGAACGCTCTGTCAATTGCTCATGAATGGTTGTTTGGAAATAAATATGAAATACTGTATACAGGGTTATTCTCGCCCTTTTGAACTTGCGTACAGTTTTGCCCCGTTTTAAATTCGCCCAGTCATAGTTCTGTTTAAGAAATTATGCTGTGTAATTTGAATTCGCCCCGTTTTAAATTCGCACAATCAAGGAGAGGGCGAAAGGGGCGAAAATAAAACGGGGGCGAAAATTTCCCTGTATACAGTATTACAATGAAGCGTGTGGCCTCTATTAAAAATATATACCTCTCTGGTTATAGATCGGTAAATACATGTATTAGTAACTAAAAGTGACGAAAGGCCGAGAGAAACAAAAACAAACTGCAGTCGAGCAATTAAACTATGTACATGAATGCGCTTTTATTTAAAATCTCTTTATTAACTGTGTGCATAATATGGCTTTTCTATTATTGTAAAATGACAAAATCGTTGTTCGAAGAAAAAGTATCAGAAAAATAATAATTAACGAAACATTATCTTTATAGCTCCGTAACCTAAAATTCGGAGTATATAACTTTTACCCTGTCCGTCCCTCTGTCTTTCTGTCTGTTTGTGCACGGAAATTATAACCTTGTTCATAACTTTTGATTGATTTCAAATTTCACAGATGTATTCCTTGTGACATGATTCCCAACATACTTGACCTTATGACATTGGAGTTTGAAAAAAATTAAACTGTAATCTTGGCCATAAATTGTGGACAGTTTTTGCTAGGACTTTCCTACTTCAAGTGAATATTTATTGTTTAAACAAGAATTTTAAGGGACTCACTTGTAATAATTTTTTACCTTTTGACCTTGACCTTTGAGTTTGATCAATTCTTTAAAAAGCATTAACCTTGGTCACGACTTTTGAACTGCTGGTTCTAGGGCCTTCATATTTAAAAGATGCATTCTTTGTATCAATACCTTCGTTTGGAAACCAAAATTTCTTCACCCTTTTCCCTGACCTTGGAGTTTGACCAACTTTGAAAAAACTTAACCGTCGCCATAAGTTTCGATCAGTAGGTGTTAGGACTTGAATGTTTCATATATATGTATTGTTCTAAAGACAAGACCTTCCCTTGGGTTCCAATTAATTAACCCTTTGATCTGGATCTTGAAGTTTGATCCACATTTAAAAAAAATTAATCTTGGCCATAACGTTTTAATAGTTGGTGCTTGGGGTTTTATATTTCACAGGTAATACAAGTACTTTCTTTGAGTAACAACATCTTTCATCTCTGAGGAGAGGGGGAGGGGGGATCTGTGTTTCACAAACACATCTTGTTTTTTCTTTATTTTTGCATAATACAGAGAATAAAATTAATTTAGAAAAGATCACAACAAATTATATATACACTGTATCTGTTTGTTTTCTACGACTGTTTTTATCTATTTACAATCGTTTGGTTTTGGATCTGAAGGTGATAATCTCTGCGATGAAATAAGCGATAAAAGCTGTGAGGTCAAGTTTGGTCAGTTTGCTTGTACATAATATATAAACAAGAAAAGCACCAACTTAGGTTCTTAGGTTTTTACAATTAGGAAAATTCATTCAGCATCTGTTAACAGTTACATTTTATAAACAAACCAAATATTTTTCAGAAAGTTTCGAGAGGACTTATTGCTTTACAAATTAAGTAAGTTCACCCTGTATAAATATTTACATCAAAAAATATTTCGTTTGTGTGTAAGTCTGTTTTTTAAATACTCGCTGCTGAGCAATGTTTACTCAATGCTTCACCAAAGAACGCAGGCAAAGGAAATGGCTTTGACATCTTTTGGAATCCAGGCGACTCACAAACACAGAATAATGGCGGATGTTTTGGAACACGAAACCAATCTGCGGGTAAATCAATTGGAAATGATTATCATACACTAGCCATCTGTGCTAAGAAGGTGGCGAAAACTCTAGGAAATGCTCTGCCTACTGCCTGAGTAAGGAGATATATACTGTTGGGGTTTAGGTAACATAACACACGCTTCTACGAAATTATCATCATTTGAAATAGCGCTGTTTAAATGAAATTTATGAGGCTTTTAATGTTGTGTTACATGCTGACTTTTTTCATAAAACAAGAATTTTCCTAATATCCGATATATAGACAATGATTTTATTGCGGAAAAAAGGTAAAGGGTCTTAAAAAAGTCTTAAAATTAGAAATACGCAGATAATATTTCAAAAAATAAATCTATTTCTTTTACAAAACGCGATCTAGGAGAATTGAGAATTGATAAAAACAATTTCTATAATATTCAAATATATATTCTTTTCAGATAATAAGGTGAAAACGATAAAATAAATTTGCCTCCCCCAATATAGTGAGTAAGCTGTCCAGGGTAAAATGTGATATATGATACATGTGCTGCGCATCAAAAATGATTACTAACTCAGGGATTATTCTAAAGACAAGAGGTAAGGACTAGCTTCTTCTGTGTTTTCATTTTACTTTTAATTAACTTTGTGCTAATATTTTTTAACGATCTGCGTTAAAAACAACTTTTACCTAAATAATATTAAGGATTATAATAAAATGTTGTATGTCGTAGTCTTACCAAGGGTAATAGTAGAATGTTATTTAGAAAAAAAAAACTTTCGTTGTGCTGATTTTCGAATGTTTTCTTTAAATTGTATTTCTAATCAAGATATGAATGATTTATTGAATCTTTTCCTTTTTAAGTTGATTTAAAATCTTTCTCTTTGCAAAATTAAACAAAAAATATGTCGAGTGTCATAAACTTACAAAAAGAAAAAAAGAAAAAAAAATCAGTTGTGAGTGAAAGAACGTTCACATGTTCATGTATTCACTATTAAATCAATTTCTAAAAAATATATTAAGGAAAGTTTACTTATATTATCATAGGAAATAGATCAGAAAGATATGTATACATGTCATTTCTTCTTGCTTTACACAAGTAGATAGTTCTCTATTAAGTACACTTATCATTATATCTATCATTTACTTTCCTGACGCTAGTATTTGATCTGTGTATTTGAGCGTATTTGATTGTGTATTTGACTCTTTTGATAGCTAAAATCAAATATGAAATATGACACAGTTTTTCGCTAATTTCATTTGCTCTAAGATATGTATAATGTTCAATTATATCCAAAAGTCATACTTTTTTGATTGCAACAACTTAGCCCACAGCTCACCTTTAAAATCTTACCCTATATTTTACCCTTATTATACCTTTCTCAAAATAAAGTATGGAGATCAGAAAAGAGTATATTATAATCATGTAGATGAATCGTGTTAAAGATATATATTGATGCATGCTTCCTGTTCTTAGAAAATTGTTTATTAATGATTTTATATGGGGACAAATAACAGTCTAGCTTTTGCGCAACCTTTCAGTGTTAAGATTTTGCAAATTATACATGCTTAGAACACGCTCTTATCCATATATGTATCTACAAAACAGGTTTTGTAATAAACTTTAATAGCAATTCAACTTTCCTTTAGTTTCAAAAAAAAAAAAATAAAATAAATAAACTTCATGAATTTATGATAAAATTCTGCAAATGCAAATATCTTTCTGTGAAGTACTTTGAAAAAAGAAACCAATTGAATGCTACGATTACAATCATCTGACAATTTATAGAGGCTAAACGATTCTCGTTTTGTCCTAACTTTTTATAAAACTTCAGTGTGGCAGAGTTTATTTGATTAATTCTACATATGTTATCTTGTTATCTAATTAAAAAAAGAAGAAAACCTGTAACAAAACCCGCATTTTATGCCAGACTATACTTTTATATAGCATACTTAGATGTATAGGAACCCAATTTTTACGTCTGATATCCGTGGCTTTTTTCTTTCATGCTAGTATAGTACGCGTATCTTTCTGATAACAGAGCTGAGTATACATGTAGTAGCCATTTTTGTAAGTGGTTGAATATGCTATAAACTCTTAAGTGTTTGATTCGAAATACAAATCACTAGATACACTTAGGTTACCTATTGGCTATTGCTGTTTTCTTCTTTAGTCACGAGTCTAAAATTGCTTCCAAAGGGGTTCAAGTCCAAAAAAAGTGTTAAGGTACATGTATACATTGTATAGACTCGGGACTAGCTGGTGTTAATCACAAGTAATGGGGTTAAGAGATTATTTTAAAAAGTTCTAAGCCACCGATGTTACATTACCGGCAATCTGTCCACTGTTCAACAGTAATTTAAAAATACATATTTATTTTTTGGAAAAATTCTTCTTCACTAGCAAACATTGAGTAATGTTGGAGAGGTGGGGGAAAATGGCATTTTATTGGTTCAAATCGTGTACTAAAAATATTCTGAAAGTACGTACATTCGACAACTGATGACCAACTCTACATTTATATATATGGACGACGTATTATCAATTAACGATAGCTTCCATTGTATGTCAACTCGATATATCCTAGTGATCTTGAAATAAAAGATATCACAGAGTCTGAAACATCTCTTTCATATTTTGATATTTTACTAGAAAAGACGTTAATGGTAAGCCAATTTGCAACAACCAAGCTTAAAGATAAATGTGATGACCTCTACTCCCTTACTTATGTAGCAGTGCATCCTTCACACCTGCATATGGTATTAATGATTGTTTTATTGTTTAACGTCCCTCTCGAGAACTCTTCACTCATATGGAGATGCCTTCATTTAGTGGTGGAGAGCTACAGAGTTTGACCTATACTCGGCACTCAGGGCCATTGAGCAGTGGGGGATCTACCGGTATTTCGGGTCAACACCTTCATTGACAAAGGACTTAGGTTTATACGGTCTCATTCGAAGGACTGGTCTCCACATTGCACAGTGGGATTGAACCTGCGACGTAAGGATCAAATCTACTTCGCGACTCTAGAGCAGACGCTCTGACAACTAGGCCACTCGGGCGATGATATGGGGTTTATATTAGTTCTCAGTTAATTCAATACAGAAGAGGATGCTCTATTTATAAACAATTTCTAAAAAGAGACGAGCTAATGACAAACAAGTTAATGAAACGAGGATAAAACCGTCTCATTTGAAGTCTTCTTTCTGAAAGACTTTTGGTCGATACAATGACTTTGCCAGGAAATACAATACACCATTGAGTCAAATGCTGACTGAAGGTTTCATACTTATTATTTGTCCATTTTACACCTCCCGCATGAAAAGTGGGAGGGTTTAAAGTGATCAGGATGTCCGACCGTCTGTTTGTACGTCCGTCCGTCTTTTACGCTTTGGGGTACCCATCTCTTATCCGCAACTCCTCTTCTACAACTGAGTGAAATTTAATTAATGAGATTTTCATGGAATCTTTGATACATAGTACCATTGTGCACCTTCTACTTTCCTTTTTGATCGGACTCATTTCGGGTTTCATACCACAAAGATTAATTTATACTGCCATTCTTTCTATAATATTAAAGGGTACCCATCTCTTATCCGAAACTCCTCCTATACCACTGAATATTTAATGATACTTTCACAGAGTCTTTATAACATAATGCAACAATACCCCGGTATTTAACATTTTGATCTGACACTTTCGGGTCTTCCAGAGCAAAACATGGACTTTGCCATTATAATCATATGCGAGACGGGGATATCATTTAGTGAGCTCAGTGCTCAGAGTACCTCTAGTTTAAACACTGGATCGGCTACTTTTTTTTTTCGTTTTTCCCGATCACAGGGTGGATGTGACTAGTCGGAAGGGGATGTTCATTTCTCCATAGAACCTGATCATACTTCTATGTTTTGGAGGTCCGTGTTTGTTCTACTCTAATTTGTATTGTCTGAATGGACCTTTGAGCTTAAATATTGTTCGTTTATCTCCATATATTTCATGCATAAGTTTAACAACAGGTGCTGTATAGTTACTCTGGGGATTTTTAAGGCCCTTGGGTCTCCTGTTTAATCGCGTGAATTCTGCAATCGTCACAAAACTCTCATTATCCGACTCTCAGAACAAAATCATTTTGTTCGTAAACAAAATGCCCAGAGGTCATTGTTCGGAAATACATGTTCTTTGCAAGAAATAATAGGATGAAATATACATGTCATCTGTTCAAGAGTTCTTTCAAGCATAAAAGCAATTTCTTTTAGTGAATAAAGGCAAAGATAAAATAGGAAGATAACGAACAGTAGATTTCAAAAGTTCAAATAAACGATATAAATTGAGAGCAGGGCATTCACATACCCCTGAAAACTTCAAAAATTGGAACAGGTGCCATGGTGGAGCAAATATTCAGTGTCAACTGGTCAAACCCTACGTTACCCCATTTTCTTGATTGGATCTTTTTCGTGCCAACGTCTGCCAGGACACGAGGCCTCTGTTTTTAAGGTCTCATCCGAAGGACCCGCAACTTTCACTTCAAAGTGCCGAGCGCATTGCGAAAGAACAGTCGCTACCCATTTTTATGGGGTCAGTCGCGGACAATGATTTGTATTCAATATTCAATGTATCGAAAGGATGCAAGCAAGGTACGGATTTTATAGACCATAAAATTTGCGAAATGTTGGCTGTAAAGGAGATTGTTGATACCTTAATATCAATTAAGTAGTTGTAATTTTGCCATCAATCTAGTAAATTATCAAAAATTGAAACAAATTTGACTGACTCTTTTTTGCCTTCTGTTTATAAATAAAAAAAAGGTCCAATTAGAGGATTTTTTTCATATCTATAGAAACGTCATCATATAAGGTGAAAGGCTTCAAATTTTAACTGGACATTCAGGGTCAATGAGAATTGAAAGCTCTCCATCATATCATTACGAAAATCGTTTTTAGAGGTACCATCTGAAACCCTGGTATTTATTACCACTTCTAATGCCAGGCGCGTTGTGAAGAAAAAGACACTTCCTTGTTCGACGCAGTCCCTCTAACTCAGACATTCTGATCAAGATGCCAACTCTCAACTATTAGAGACTACAGTGACCAATAAATTAACAAATAAAGAAAATGTATGAAACTTCATCCTTAATGTCAAATTGAAGGCCACAGCAAGAGACTTCCTCTTTATAGAAATACAAAAAAGGATGAAAACATTAATAATACTGCAGACATGACATGTTTTGTTATCAAATATTAATAAAGCCGAGTGTTTCTAGCTTTTCGAGTGAATTAATAGTAAAATATAGCAAAAAGGAAAACAAACGAACACACTTAAATTTACGCTTGAAGCGAAGTGATTTTAAAAAGCTGTTGTTTAAAATGACCTACTGACAACTTAAAACAGGTACAATTATAAATACAAATTTACATTTTGAAATATTTTTATTTACAATATTGTAATTTCAAAAAAAAACAAAAAAAAACGTAGGCATGAAATAATTATTAATTCCTTGAAGGAGTTTCACGACTCTGTTTTCTTTACACAATATATAAATCTATAAATGTAAATTATTTGCAGATCTTGTCAAAAAATAAGACACATTTTCTAATGTCAGTAGACATCAATAGCCATATTACATTTCCTTAACCCGTTATATCAGTCGAGACACTAGTAATCACCACTCACAGAACAACGGCGATTTGTCTTTCTGGTTAAAGATAACAATGATCCGACTTTTTACAACTGCTGCTAAAAAGTGGTAATTTTCACAGGCTTTCCAGCCATATTATTAGATAAACCTCATCATTATACAAAGAATTAGATTTCTTAGATTTAATTTTCGTCTTTGTGACGTGCTGGATAGATTCATGAGTCTTGTGAGGCTTCAATATTGATTCTCGCCCGTCGGCATAGTTATAAAGGGGCATTAGGAGATAGGAATTAGACAAACATACCACAACTGAGACAGTGCAAGCTCTGTTCAAAATCCTTCAGATATAAACAGTTTGTACAAATACTTATTTTATGAACGTTCAGAATACTAACATTGATATAATTTTGTTTATCAATATTTACTGTATCTCTACCAAATGGTCCTACATTTTAAACTTCAAATTGAGTTTTCCTTTTAATGAAGAAGCAATTTTTTACATATTGTTTCAAATTCCATTTGGTATATTTTGAAGTTTTCACTGCTCAGTTTCTTACACAGCAAAATGATTTGGCTCTAGAATAGTTTGTAGATTTTTGCCCAATTTTACAATGTTGCCCGATAAAACGTATCAAAATATGTAGTTTCTTTACCTCTCAAATCGTTTAAGTTACTAAGTAATTTTCATTAAGTCAAATTATGATTCTCCATGCGAGATTTTTTAAACTACCATAAGCAATTGTATGCTCTTTATCATTTTCAAACAATTTATCTATCGAATTTGATGTTAACTAGTGCTAATTGTAACGGGGACCGTTACAGATGTTCCCCAAACGCTCCCCAACTCCCTTTCATAGTCATATTCCCTGTAAGCGTAATTAAATAAGATAAACTCTATGCATTTGAGACTTCAAGAACGTTTACCCAGAAGTGTACCATGTTCATTCAAATTTTATCATTGCACACTTGCTCATGTGAATGCACGTGCGTAATGAACATATCATATTGTCTACACAATCTAAATATTTTAATGTGCTAAATATTAAAGTACTTAATCCAAAAGTATAAAAAAAAAACACACATTCAAGTGTATTTTTGATTTTACCCATTTCACATGCACGCACATGCATACATGAGCATGGTGACCATACCTTCCTGTAGAAGTCCATTACATCTATCTATGTTATAAATCCCACCCCGTTTGGTTGAAAACCAAGGGAGTTATAGCTGTTTAAAGTTTCAGCCAATCAGATTGCAGCGCACGTACACGTACATGTATGCATGTGCATGGTGACCATACCTACTTGTAGAAGTCCATTATATATATCTATGTTCCAAATCCCATCCTGTTTGGTTGAAAACCAAGGGAGTTATAGCTATTTAAAGTTTCAGCCAATCAGATTGCAGCGCACGTACACGCACGTGTGTGCCTGTGCATGGTGACCATACCCTCTTGTAGAAGTCCATTACAAATATCTATGTTCCAAACCCCATCCTGTTTGGTTGAAAATCAAGGAAGTTATAGCTATTTAAAGTTTCAGCCAATCAGATTGCAGAGCACGTGCATGCACGTGTTTTCATGATAATTGCTATATATCATATTGTAGGAAATCCTAATGCATGGCTATGTTCAAAATTTCAAAAGATTTCGTCAAAAAGCAAGAAAGATATTGAGACTTTAGTTTCAGCCAATCAGAGCGAAGCGCACGTGCATGCACGTGAGATCTTGCTATTTTGACCATGACATCTTGTGCATACTACTAATATATCCTTACATTATGAGTTTCAAAACATTTCGTCAAAAAATAGAAAAGTTACGGTTAAATCCATTATATATTGGTCATTTCACGTTTTGCACGTGCGCGCTCTTGCAAGCACGTGCGCGCAAAATGACCTTCATTCCGCAAATCTACATAACATGTCTACTGACCCTAAAAACATTTCACCTAAATTGGATGTGTAGTTTACTAGATCATTCGCGGACAAAATTTTCCCGAGAAGAAAAATAATAATAATAATAATAATAAGAAACAGAGTAAAAACAATATGTTCCCCAACTTCGTTTGGGGAACATAATAAGGGATGAAAATAAATTGTCCTCATTTGATTCAGGAAAAGTGGGGCGTTGTCTTCATAAGTATTATCTTTAGAATAAACATCATTCATGAAGCTGAGAGCAATTAATACACGCCGCATTCCAGTACCCCCTGAAAATTAAAAAATAAGACTTCTTTTTATCAATACTGATACTGAAACGTTTATCGTAATTTTTCAAGTGATTCAGGTGAAAAAACAAACTGTTTCAGCTAAATGTTCTTTTTGGCAGACTTATTTGTTTATCTTCAGACGATGCAACTAAATTTTTACTAAAACTTTGTGAAAAAAATCTCTCAGAATTGAAAGTTTAACATATATCACAGTGTGTGTAAGTATTTGTTTTATCAATGTTTAGGATTCTTTTCATGAGAATAAAAAAAAATGAAAATATATCAATACTGAAATTTTAAAGCTGAAATGTATTTACTTTAGAGTCTATGTCTCTTTCCTACGACGGCGTATTCGTGCCATTTTAATAATGAAGAATTTTTTTTTTTAAATCGTTTGAACGATTTAAGAAAACGTTTGTACGATTTAACAAATTGTTTGTATAATTTAATAAATCGTTTGTACAATTTAATAAATCGTTTGTACAATTTAATAAGTCGTTTGTACGATTTAATAAGTCGTTTGTACGATTTAATAAATTGTTTGTACAATTTAGTAAATCGTTTGTACAATTTAATAAATCGTTTGTACAATTTGTTTGTTAAATCGTTTGTACAATTTATTAAATCGTTTGTACAATTTATTAAATCGTTTGTACAATTTATTAAATCGTACAAACAATTTTTTAAATCGTACAAACGTTTTGTTAAATCGTAAAAACGGTTTCCTAAATTGTTCAAACGATTTATAAAAATCGTACAAACTATTTTAATAAATCGTATGAACGATTTAATAAATTGTACAAACGACTTATTAAATTGTACAAACGACTTATTAAATTGTACAAACGTCCTTATTAAATTGTACAAACGATTTATTAAATTGTACAAACGATTTGTTAAATTGTACAAACAATTTATTAAATCGTACAAACGTTTTCTTAAATCATTCAAACGATTTTAAAAAAAATTTCTACATTGTTAAAATGGCACGAATACGCCGTCGTACTTTCCTCTCTTTGGTCAGAGATATTTTCTGCTTCGAGAGTTTTTTACTGCATTAAACTTGTTTCATTATGTAGCTTCTTTTTCTTAAAATAGAACGTAGAGGGGGAAAAATAATGCACGTGCTTCTGTCATGTGGTTGTGTCAAAATTCAGTCTTCATTTAAAAACGAAATCATCATCAATGAAACAATGGAATTAAAGACATGCTTTTTTACTTTTTAGATTTTATAGTCGAATGACTTCAATATGGAAACCAATGGAAAATCCAAATATTATATAACAGATGACCCGAATCAAGTGGATTTCAAAGGGTAAGCTGTGGATAAGTCTACTAATTACACAAAGACTTAGTATGTCAAAGGTGAAGATAAAAACAATGATCGATCTCAGAAATCATTTAAAGAGTACAAATTCGTGAACAGGTTATAAAATAAAACCCCTGTAAATTTCACTAGAGGTAGGATCAGGTCTAAGGGAAGAAAGATTTTCCCGTTAACTGGTCACACCCGTCGCAAGCCATATGAAGGAACAATCCATAGTTAAAGTTTGTATAAAACAATGGCCTCAATCTAGACGTATGAAAAATGTCAGTCCAAAACGACCTGTTTTTAAAAACAAATATAAAATCACATAATTTTCGTTTGGTTAAATTTTCGAGGTTCGAGAAAGAAATGTTGTTTTTTAGAGCTTTGGATTCGTGGTTGGAGAAGTGTTGAGTATGGCCATGAATTCGAGGGTTTCTCCATTCCCCATTTTCAAAAGTGAGTTATCTCCCCTCAAAATCGGAACTCTTCAACACTAGCATAACTTCCGCGGACTACATGATACGATAATCCAACAAAATAGTGATCAACTTACACGCTGTATTTAAAAATTTTAAAAGTAGGAAACGGTTTGCATTTTTTTTTAGATAATAAATTATTTATCTACCCCCCCCCCTTTCTAGAAAGCTATACGAATTAGCCAGGCACGTAGCATCGTCTTTAAAAAAGGGGGGGTAGCCAAAGAAATATTTTTTTCTTACCTGGAAAAGTTGGCAAGCAAAGAAAAACCTTTCCCAAAGTTGAAAAAGCTACTTATTTCAGTACCAGTTCCTTGGCATACAATACTACATTTCCCTTATATAACTTTACCGTAGTATAAACTGTGAGTGTGTGGGGGGGGGGGGGGTGGGGGTGGGGCTTGGCAACCTGTCTATCAATGAACATTTTCAATAGAAAAAGTAATATTGGGAAAAAAGTGGGGGTTGGGCTAAACCCCTTGACCCCGCACCCCCCCCCCCTCCGTGCGTACAGGTACAGAGAATATGTAAATGGGTTGAACAGTTGAATATGAACCATAGTTGTGAAAATTAAAAATTATTAGAATTTTTAATTTTGAATTCAATAAAATTACGGTACTTATATTTTTTCACAGATGTACATGTATGTCAGTTACACGGAGTCTCTCTCTCTCTCTCTCTCTCTCTCTCTCTCTCTGATATTGTTTTTTACACACTTTGCAAAAAAAGAATAACTTATAAAAATAAATACATGTACTTACACTGAAATGATTTAAAAAAAATAAATAACACTTAAGAAAAGATTGTTTTCAGTTAATTAACGAGAAATACGCTAGGAAATTATTGTATCAATTTCGTGTTTCTGCTCTCAGTTCTCTGATCTAAAACAAAATGTGTATTTTACTCGGGAATATACATGTACATATGCTTAGATCCTACACTAAAACTTTGATTAAATGCAGCTCAGACTTTATACGACATATGTAACACGAATTAGTCTTTCTTCGTTACCTGAGCACATGAGATTAAATTATTCATTTAGAATTCCATTCAAAGATTTAATACTAAATAGTGAATAAATTATTTTACAAATAAAAAATTCTAGAAACACGGTTAATTCAAATGAAATAGGCCTTTAATTGTCACCAAATGTGTTCTTGTAAGTAAAAGTTCTATGTTATGACATACAATCGAGCAAAAACGCAGTTTCTTGGTATTGGTCGCGGAAGACGAACTACTGCTGTATATGCAGCAATTTCAGAGGTAAAACTGTAGATGGACATGTCATCAGTCTTCAAAAAATTCCTAGAGATACAATGAAAATATGGCTGCAGCAGGCTAGATTAATTCGTAAACACTTTATAACTAAAAATTTGTTCCGCACATTTTGTAAATAATGATGATCCGTCTGCAGAACATCCACTACCGAAAATTAGCTTTTTTTGTTTGTTTTTTTTTTTAAATAGGCCTATTCGAATATGTATCAGCATTTTATCAGTAATTTGTTTCTTTTTTTTTTTTGTAAAGGGGGGGGGGGGGGTCACACAGCACCTTATAATAGTACTACACAGATTAATACAAACCCAGAAAGAGACTATGAGTGGGCAATTTAAAAAAAAAATACGAATCAGTTAAGATTTCTTTTTATTCACAAACACAATAATATTTTTCCATATGACAGAGGCATACACCATGAACATGTTTACATCAAGAACGTCCGCGGAAGTGACTTTATTTATAGCGCATGCGTATTAAACACAGTAAAAGAGTTCCCTTCAGGGGTAATAACTCACCTTTTGAAAATGGGGAATACTTCGAAAACAAAGAAAATGCCCCCCCCCCCGAAAATTGGTGATTTCACAGTAATTTTGATATTTATCATCTATGGGCAAAGGGGGACAAAAATTATGAATTTCATTGTCCGTATCCCCTTGGATTTGAGTGCTTGACTAGTTGTCATTTTGGCATATTCAAGGAAGAAAAAATATGCGCTCTATATCTTTGGAATAAAAATTACTAGAACTTTAAAATAAAACAAAAAGTTTATGACATGACGATATGTTACATTATGACTCTAACCCAAGGTCATTGTGAAAAATTTGGTTTCCTTGCCACATATATCGTATAATTATTATAGTTTAAAATATATTTTATTCACAGAAATGGATTGAACAGCAGGCGTAACTGCCTATGATCGTTCTCTCCATATAATTATTATGACAGATCTTTAATTTCCTAATGGAGAAATATTGGATCTTAATATTTCGTTAAGAGTTTATTGTATGTCGAGATGATATGTCATTTGTTACCAAGGTCACTTCATCAAGTTCAATGTCACATTTACGACATTGAAAATAGACACTTTAAAAAATTCTGCAGGAAGTAAGAGGTGTTTTGTGAGCAGTGCATCTAATTGTACATATGTAATTAGCAAAGGTGACAAATTCAAAACCACTGGGATAGGGACTCTGGTGTTATTGTAGGGCTCTTTTGAACAGGGAAATTCTTTGTATGACGGAGTGTGACCGGTAGACAGGGGATGCTCAATCCGCGATGGCACCTGATCCCACCGCTGATGTTTAGAGGTCCATGTTTGCTCTGTTCCTGATTTGCATTGAATGGACTTATGAGCTTGAATATTGTTCGTTTTCTCCCTCCATATTTTATTTGTAGGAAAGCTGATTGTATGTTGTTTAAATTTACACCACATTCGAGAATTTTTCACTTATATAGAGACGTCACCATGTACCGATGAAGGCTTTGAATT